TTGGGAAAGGACTCTCTAATAACCTCTGACTCTTCGGAGTTGGGAGCGTTGGTTTGCCTGGAATCAGCTTCCACTTTTCCTGTACTTCTGGGCTGAGCTGAGGGTCGACAGAGAGGAATGCCATTCAGCTCTAGGGTCCCCACAAAAAGTTGGTTGACCTGTAGCCATGGGTGGAACTCTCAAAGTCTTGTCACCCAAGTGAGACTCTTCCATCTATCCTATCTATCCTGACCCTTGCCTCCTGGGTCCTAACACCTGTCAGACAACTTCCTCCTGCCTCTCTTCTCTGAGGCTAGTTCCACTTCTAAAAACCACACCCTGTCTATGGTGTTCTCTAGTTTATCCTATAAGAATGATTTCTAGTATAAACTTCAGGACTGTGTTTCCTTCTTTAGGCACCCAGGCTCACCAGCCAGAAAGACATAATTTTTGCCCAAAGCCCTGGTGGCCGGAGTGGGGGGGGGTGGTGGGGGGGGACTATCTGGAATTTTAGGATCCCTCGTCAGACTAACAGGCCTAACAAAAGCTATTCCTGAAGCTAAGATATGGGGAGCCTCAGAAATGATATCCTTCCTATTCATGTGATGAGAAGTGAGGACAAAAGGCACCACTCTTCCAACCCTGGAGATCCCTTTGCTCCCTCAGGGTGTGGCCCTCCACTTCATTTTTGGGAAATAACATCTTTATAGGATAGGGGTAAGGTCCCAATACTAACAGGACTCTGGCAGGTTTTCGAGAATGTGTCAGTAAAGGCCAATAAATCCGACCTTCCTCCATTCTCTTTGTGGTCTAAGAGGAAAATTATGGTTTCTGCTGCTGCATCGGTGAACACAACTATTCTAATCAGCAGGGTCCAGGGACCATTGCAGGTTCTTGGACAAAAGGGGTTTCTGCTGCTGCGTCAGTGAGCACAACTATTCTGATCAACAGGGTCAAGGGACCATTGTGGGTTTCCTTGAAATGCATCCTAAGCCATTGGGACCAATTTGACCCACAAACCCTGAAAAAGAAGTGGCTCATTTTTTTTTTCCACACTATGGCCTGGCCCCAATATTCTCTCTATGATGGGGAAAAATGGCCACCTGAGGAAAGTATAAATTACAATGCTATCCTGCAGCTTGACCTTTTATGTAAGAAGGAAGGCAAATGCAATGAAATACCTTATGTCCAAGCTTTCTTTTCATTGAAAGAGAATCCACAACTATGCAAAGCTTGCAATTTACATTCCACAGGAGGACCACTCAGCTTACCCCCATAACCTAGCATACTCCCATATCCTAGCCTACCCCCATATCCTAGCATCCTAGCAAGGGGAGATATACCTCCCCTTTTTATTAATGATAAGCCTCGTCTAATCTCCCCTGCCCAGAAGGAAACATGCAAAGAAATCTCCAAGGGACTACAAAAACCCCTGGGCTATCAGTTATGTCTCCTTCAAGCTGTAGGGGAAGGGAAATTTGGCCCAACCTGGGTATATGTCCCCTTCTCCCTCTCTGATTTAAAGCAGATCAAGGCAGACCTGGGGAAGTTTTCAGATGATCCTGATAGGTATATAGATGTCCTACAGGGTCTAGGGCAAACCTTTGACCTCACTTGGAGAGATGTCATGCTATTGTTAGATCAAACCCTGGCTTTTAATGAAAAGAATGCAGCTTTAGCTGTAGCCCAAGAGTTTGGAGATACCTGGTATCTTAGCCAAGTAAGCGGCTACAGGAGGCCTTAAGATAATACACTCCCCTGTCACCTGACTCACTTGAGGGTCAATTGATCCTAAAAGATGAGTTTATTACCCAATCAGCTGCAGATATCAGGAGAAAGCTCCAAAAGCAAACCCTGGGCCCTGAACAGAATCTGGAGGCATTATTAAACCTGGCAACCTCGGTGTCCTATAATAGGGACCAAGAGGAACAGGCCAAAAAGGAAAAGTGAGATCAGAGAAAGACTGCAGCCTTAGTCATGGCCCTCAGACAAACAAACCTTGGTGGTTCAGAGAGGACAGAAAATGGAGCAGGCTAATCACCCAGTAGGGCTTGTTACCAATGTGGTTTGCAAGGACACCTTAAAAAAGATTGACCAGGCCAGGCTCGGTGGCTCACGCCTGTAATCCCAGCACTTTGGGAGGCCAAGGCGGGCGGATCATGAGGTCAGGAGATCGAGACTATCCTGGCTAACATGGTGAAACCCCGTCTCTACTAAAAATACAAAAAATTAGCCAGGTATGGTGGCGGGTGCCTGTAGTCCCAGCTACTCTGGAGGCTGAGGCAGGAGAATGGCATGAACCCAGGAGGCAGAGCTTGTAGTGAGTCGAGATCGCACCACTGTACTTCAGCCTGGGCGACAGAGTGAAACTCTGTCTCAAAAAAAAAAAAAAAAAAAAGATTGACCAACAAAAAACAAGCTGCCCCCTTGCCCATGTCCACTATGCTGAGGCAATCACTGGAGGGCGCACTGCCCCAGAGGACAAAGGTTCTCTGGGCCAGGAGCCCCCAACCAGATGATCCAACAACAGGACTGAGGGTGCCCAGAGCAAGTGTCAGCTCATGATTCTCATCACCCTCATTGATTCTTGGGGATGTTTAACCATTGAGGGCCAGGAAGTTGATTTCCTCCTGGACACTGTTGCAACTTTCTCAGTGTTAATCTCTTGTCCTGGACAGCTGTCTTCAAGGTCCGTTACCATCTGAGGAATCGTGGGACAATCTGTAACCAGGTATTTCTCCCGCCTCCTCCATTGTAATTGGGAGACTTTGCTTTTTTCACATGCCTTTCTTGTTATGCCTTAAAGTCCCATACCTTTATATTAGGGAGGGACATATTAGCTAAAGCTGGAGCCATTATCTACATGAATATGGGGAACAAGTTACCCATTTGTAGTCCCCTGCTTGAGGAGGGAATCAACCCTGAAGTCTTGGCTTTGGAAGGACAATTCAGAAGTGCAAAAAATGCCCATCCGGTCCAAATCAGGCTAAAACACCCCACCACTTTTCCTTATCAAAGGCAATATTCCTTAAGGCCTGAAGTTCATAAAGGATTACAGGATATTGTTAGATATTTAAAAGCTCAAGTCTTAGTAAGAAAATGCAGCAGTCCCTGCAACACCCCAATTCAAGGAGTACAAAAACCAAATGGTCAGTGGAGATTACTGTAAGATCTTAGACTCATCACCTCTTCCCTGCTTAACAAACAGTCCAGGTTTGTAATGGCAAACATACTCCCTGCATGACCATTCACCCCTGCACCCCCTGCAACAGCACCCCCACCACTAGTGAATTCCTTCTCATCCCCTCTTCCAATCACTCTCTTGAATGGTTCCTACTAGATACAAAATGGTTTTTACTCCAGTGGGAAAATAAAACACAGGGAGCCACTCAGTTTGCTCCCAACACCTCTTTCCAGCCGCTCACCAGAGCTACCTTGGCAAGTACTCTAGGAGTATGGGAAAATTAAAACAACAAACTCACATACCTTTTTAACATACACAACCAGTTCTGTCTACCCAGCCAAGGCATATTTTTCTTATGTGGAACGTCAACCTATATCTGCCTCTCCACTAACTGGACAGGCACCTGCACCTTAGTCTTCCTAAGTCCCAACATTAACGTTGCCCCAGGAAATCAAACCCTATCAGTCCCCCTCAAAGCTCAAGTCCGTCAGCACAGAGCCATACAACTAATACCCTTATTTACAGGGTTAGGAATGGCTACTGCTACAGGAACAGGAATAGCCAGTTTATCTACTTCATTATCCTACTACCACACACCCTCAAAGGATTTCTCAGACAGTTTACAGGAAATAATGAAATTTATCCTTACTCTACAATCCCAAACAGACTCTTTGGCAGCAGTGACTCTCCAAAACCACTGAGGCCTAGACCTCCTCACTGCTGAGAAAGGCAAACTCTGTACCTTCTTAGGGGGAGAGTGTTGTTTTTACACTAACCAGTCAGGGATAGTATGAGATGCCACCTGGCATTTACAGGAAAAGTCTTCAGAAATCAGACAACGCCTTTCAAACTCTTATACCAACCTCTGGAGTTGGGTGACATGGCTTCTCCCCTTTCTAGGTCCTGTGACAGCCATCTTGCTATTACTCGCCTTTAGGCCCTGTATTCAGGCCCTCCTTGTCAAATTTGTTTCCTCTAGGATTGAAGCCATCAAGCTACAGATGGTCTTACAAATGGAACCCCAAATGAGCACAACTAACAACTTCTACCAAGGACCCCTGGATCAACTCACTGGTCCTTTGGCCTAAAGAGTTCCCCTCTGGAGGACACTACAACTGCAGGGCCCCTTCTTCGCTCCCATCCAGCAGAAAGTAGCTAAAGCGGTCATCACCCAATTCCCAACAGCAGTTGGGGTATCCTGTTTAAAGTGGGGATTGAGAGGTGAAGCCAACTGGACTTCCTGGGTCGAGTGGGGACTTGGAGAACTTTTCTTTTTAGTGCTCTGTGTCTAGCTAAAGGATTGTAAATGCACCAATCAGCACTCTGTAAAAATGCACCAATCAGTGCTCTGTGTCTAGCTAAAGGATTGTAAATGCACCAATCAGCACTCTGTAAAATGGACCAATCAGCACTCTGTAAAATGGATCAATTAGCAGGACATGGGCAGGAACAAATAAGGGACTAAAAGCTGGCCACTCTAGCCAGCAGTGGCAACCCACTTGTGTCCCCTTCCATGCTGTGGAAGCTTTGTTCTTTCGCTCTTCACAATAAATCTTGCTGTTGCTCACTCTTTGGTTCTGTCCCACCTTTAAGAGCTGTAACACTTACCATGAAGGTCCGTGGTTTCATTCTTGAAGTCAGTGAGACTGAGAACCCACTGGAAGGAACCAACTCCAGACACATTGCAATGGTTAGAATATCACTAGGTGACAGGAAATGTTCAGATGTGTTCTAATCTCATGGGACCATGGTCTTATATGTGGTTAGTCAGTGATGGAAACAAGAGATGCATGAGTATATTAGTTTGCTAAGGCTGCATATAACAAATTACCAAATATTTAGTGGCTGAAAATAGAAATTTATTGTTGTATAGTTCTGGAAACCAGAAGCTCAAGGTGTCAGCCCAGCCATGCTCCCTCTGATGGCTCTAGGGGAGAAGGCTTTCTGGTTCTTTTCCACCTCCTGGTGGCTCCAGGCCTGTTTGGCTTGTATCAGCATCACTCCAATCCCTGCCTCTGTCTTTACATGGTCATCTCCTCTGTGTCTGTGTCTTCTTTTCTGTCAAAGTCAGATCTTTTTCTGCCTTTATCTTACAGACACACGTGTCATCGAATTTAGGGCCAAGCCAGATAGTCCAGGATATTCTCATCCTGAGATTCTTCAATTAATTATATCCAAAATGACCCTTTTTCTGAATGAAGTCACATTCATTGAATCCAGGAGTTAGAACATGGACATGTCTTTTAGGGGAACACCATTCAGCCACTTCAGAAGAAAGCAAGTGTCCTCTTTCTTTTAGCATCTTATTGTGTGTTTAGTCTTCTTTAAAAGCACTGTAGGTTGACTTTGGATCGAATTCTGCCTAGCTGCTAGCTGTGTGACCTTGGGCATGTTACTTAACTTCTCTCTGCTTGAGTTGTCCATCAAAATGGGAGCTGTAAATAAACATTTGACAGGATTGTTGTAAAGATTAAATGAGGCATGGAACGTAAAGTTCCTAGGGCAGCTCAATAAATATGTGATATTATTTCATTGTGGTTAGCAATCTCTAACAGTAGAGACCAGGAGGACTCCAGTTTTTCAATGTGTAGTTATACAAGTTATACAAGGAGGCATTTATCTTGGTTCCTCTGCCTTCAAGTTCCCAATGCTCAGGTTAGTGTTGGGGGTTTACTGCAATCTGGGAATGCTGCTTTGCTTTGAAAGCCTTGCAGCTTGCTAGCAGACAATTGGAAATTCACTATTTTAGGATTTAGGACACTGGCAGGAGGTCTGAATTATGTTTTGTTTTGTTTTTTTTTTTTTTTTTTTTTGAGACGGAGTCTCGCTTTGTCGCCCAGGCTGGAGTGCAGTGGCCGGATCTCAGCTCACTGCAAGCTCCGCCTCCCGGGTTTACGCCATTCTCCTGCCTCAGCCTCCCGAGTAGCTGGGACTACAGGCGCCCGCCACCTCGCCCGGCTAGTTTTTTGTATTTTAGTAGACACGGGGTTTCACCGTGTTAGCCAGGATGCTCTTGATCTCCTGACCTCGTGATCCGCCCGTCTCGGCCTCCCAAAGTGCTGGGATTACAGGCTTGAGCCACCGCGCCCGGCCTGAATTATGTTAATTTCAGAGGCCTCTGACAGGCTTATCTTGTAATTTTCTTAAAAAATAGAGATTGGAGTTTCCTTAAAGGGTCAAAGGAAGCTGTGTGGGAAGTTATCTTTGTTAACATCTGTCTGCCACTTAGCACCACTTGTACCCCACAAGGAGAAAGGAGAGGCTGCCTCAGAGCTCAATTTAAGTTGCAAGGGTATAAGCAGCACTGTTAAAAGAAGACAGATAACAGCTTCCTAACTGGGAAAGATTACTGAAAGGGAAACTTTGATTCAACCTTTCCTTACTCTTTTGGTGAGAATGACTTCTAACCCCTACGTAAAGTCCAGGGAGGAGCTATTTGTAGCTAGTTAATGAAGATGTTTTAAGTCCTCATGAGTCTTTTCTTCAAAGTAAATACTTATTCTCTTCAAAAGCCAATTAGTGTTTAAAATCTTCGCTTCTTTTATTTTCTAAAAAAAAAAAAAAAAAAAAAGGAAATATTTCTCTGGTAAAAACACTTAGGTCGAATGAAAAGTCCCTAGGAGACCCAATTTATAAAACAAGAAGAAACTTCTTTTGATGAATATGTAAATTTGTTTGACTGTAGTAATCATTTTTCTATTTATATGTATGTCAAAACATCATGTTGTACATACATCTCAAATATATACAATGAAAAATAAATTTGAAAAGAAGAAGAAACTTCTTCCATCTAGCGAAAGGAGATGACAGCCTAGACACTTGTCCAATACTCCTCAGCAGGTAAAACGTGGGGCCTCTAGAACAGGCAAATCTTCCCCCTAGGGAGTGTTACCTAGCCCAGGGCAGATGGTCACTTGCCTGAGGAAAGAGCTAGAGGACATCTGGTCCAGCTGGAGAATGCCTGAGCTTTGATTCAAAGGCCAAATTGCCTGTGGCAAAGCTTGTTCTGTAAAACCCCATAGGCTGGGTGTGGTGGCTCACACCTGTAATCCCAGCACTTTGGGAGGGGGAGGCAGGTGGATCACAAGGTCGGGAGATCAAGACCACCCTGGCTAACACAATGAAACCCCGTCTCTACTAAAAATACAAAAACTTAGCTGGGCATGGTGGTGGGCGCCTGTACTCCCAGCTACTTGGGAGGCTGAGGCAGGAGAATGATGTGAAACCGGGAGGCGGAGCTTGCAGTGAGCTGAGATGGCGCCACTGCACTCCAGCCTGGGTGACAGAGCTAGACTCTATCTCAAACAAAACAAAACAAAACAACAAAAACACCCCATAAATGTGAAAAGAAACAATCAATCAGTTGTTGACTACATTAACTACCTTAGGATAAATGCAGAACAAAAAAAGACTATATCCCTTACTGATAAAAACCTTAGATAAAGTCCAGGGAGATTTGACAAGTATAGGGGAAGTGGTTAAGAGTATCTGGCCTGGAGCCGAAACTACTGGTTCCAGTCCCAACTTTATGGAGTTTTGGTGGTTCCCAGACGAGCCAGTAGCATTAGCATCATGTAGGAGCTTATTGGAAACGTAGATTCTCGGACCACATCCCTGACCTACTGTATCAGAATCTGCATTTAACACAATCTTTGGATAATTTGTAGGTACATTAAAGTTTGAGGAGCACTAACCTAGTATCACAGAAACACCCTGGGTGACCTCCAGTAATTCCCACCTCATATTGTTCATGCCTCTGTGTACCCTATCCCCTTGGGTATGGATGGGGCTTGTGACTTGCTTCTACCCAATGGAAGAGGGCAAAGGGGAAAAGGTTTTGCAGATATAATTAACCTCCAAAATTAATTGGTTATGAGTTAAAGGGAGAGTGCTCTGTGCAGGCCTGACTTTATCAGGTGAACAGCCTTTAAAAGAGGGAGTGGACCTTCCTTGAGGTGAGACACTCTCCTTTCAGGCTTGATGAAATAAATGAAATAAATGGCTTTGTGTTGGAGAAGCCCACATGGAACTGCTGGCAGCCTATAGGACCCTAGGGTGACCTCCAGCCAATAGCCAGCAAAAAGCAGGGTCCTTCACCATATAACTGCAAAGATACGATTTCTGCCAGCAACCTAAGGGAGCATAGAAACAGATTCTTCCCCAGTTGAGCCTACAGATGAGAATGCAGCTCAACTAACAACTTGATTACAGTCTTGTAAGACACCGAGCAAAGGGCCGGTTGAGATATGCCTGGACTTCTGACCCACAGAAACTATAAGTTAATAAATAAATACCATGTTATGCTGTTAAACTTATGCTAATTTGTTCCATGGCAATAGAAAACGAATACTTCTAGGGCAATTTGTTTATCTGCTTTTGACAAGTTTGTCTAAATATAAAAAGGGGATAAAATTAGCATTAACCAGAGGGTTATTTTGTAGATTAATAAGTAACAGGTGTAAAATGCCTAAAACTGTGCTTAGCACGTGATAAGTACTCAGTAAATTGTATTATTATAGCATTTATCTGATACAAACACTTACATGATGTAATTATTTTGAAAACTGCTTTTTTTTTTTTTTTTTTTTTGAGACGGAGTCTCTCTCTGTTGCCAGGCTACAGTGCAGTGGCACGATCTCAGCTCTCTGCAACCTCCACCTCCTGAGTTTAAGCAATTCTCTTGCCTCAGCCTCCCAAGTAGCTGAGACTACAGGCACACACCACCACACCCAGCTAATCTTTGTATTTTCAGTAGAGACCAGGTTTTACCACATTGACCAGAATGGTCTCAATCTCTTGACCTTGTGATCCGCCTGCCTCAGCCTCCCAAAGTGCTGGGGTTACAGGCATAAGCCACTGCACCTGGCCAAAAACTGCTTTTTAAGGGAGCTGAAGCAGTGTGGGAAAAATGAATGGAGGTCAAAAAATTATGTTGCATTTTATGCATATGAGCTTCTAGGATATAAACGCAAATGTGTCTATTGAATTAGCTTCACTAAAATTATAGTTAAACACTGCTAAAGTCTATGTCACTGTTTGTATCAGGCTTGTTCACCTAAAAGAATCTGTTAAGCATCTGTTGGCTACAATCCAAAGTGTGAACATATGCACCATTATCTTCATTTTATAGACAGTTAGGTGGAGCTGCAGAGGAAATGATTTGTGCATGTCATGGAGGAAATTGACTGCATAAATGGAATTGGAATTGAAGTCCTGCATCTCTCTCTCTTTTTTTTTTTTCCTTGAGACACAGTCTCGCTCTGTTGCCCAGGCTTGAGTGCAGTGGCGCGATCTCAGCAAACTTCAAGCTCTGCCTCCCAGGTTCATGCCATTCTCCTGCCTCAGCCTCCCGAGTAGCTGGGACTACAGGCGTCCACCATCACGCCTGGCTAATTTTTTCTATTTGTAGTAGAGACGGGGTTTCACTGTGTTAGCCAGGATGGTCTCGATCTCCTGACCTTGTGATCTGCCTACCTTGGCCTCCCAAAGTGTTGGGATTACAGGCATGAGCCACTGTGCCCAGCTGAAGTCCTGCATCTTGATTCATGCCTGGATTCTCACAACATCATGAGCTATTTGCTATGTGGCAAGGGACAAACTAAGGCGGAGGATAGACATTTCTCAGGGCAAATTTCAGCTCTTGTGTCTTTTTTCTGGGTCTACCCCTCCTAACCTGCCAATCAATAAACCATCCATTGTTTCTCTTTGACAGAAACTTTGGAGACTTGTAAAATGTTAGTTCTGATTATACACCATTGCTTGCAGGTATCAGCAATGCAGAAGCGAGGGCAGATCTCTGAGCCTTTGAGTGGCAGCACAACTGCTGTCGTGACAATAAAATTAGAATGGGAGATGAATTCCATCTTTTCTTCTGACACTTACTTTTTTAGCCTTTACATAAACCTTCATATGCAATGCAATTCCAGACACCTACATTCTTAGTATCTTTGTCATTCTTTGTGAATGCCTGGGTTACCTTCTCATTAGAATGACCTTGTATGTTGTATTTAGAATTCTGTTTAGATATATTTAATTATAATGCCCTTTCAGGACACTTGTATTTGGCAGCCTCTTGTGATATTGCTCTTTGTTTTGAAGCTCAATGTTCATTTAGAAATGCTTTTTGTTCTACTCTACCAAAGACACTCACATTTGGTTCTTGGCAGACACCACAGATGGGGTCACTCTGTAATTGAACTTTCATAAATCATCCTTTGCAATGTGCAACCAAATTCCCACAACCTTTTCTTCCCACAGAAACCTTTCCTAAGCCACTAAAGGATATGATAGAGAAGCAGGTTTATCTCTCTCACTACATGTTTTACTTTTCATTCTTTTATCAACTAAAGCTTTAAGTTTTGTTGCTAATGCAAATGTGTTTTTCTTACATTTCCCTGCTAAAGAAGTGGCTGAATTGTGAAATTATATGTTGTCC